GGTGAGCTGTGTCCCGCGTTGCTCAAGTGCCCAGCCTAGCATTCCACTTGGGCCTTCTTGTGGTGAGCACACACCCAGCGATGTCATCTTTGCCGCAACTCAGTGCATCTCTTTGAGAAAGAGAAACGAAGCAATGCGGAGGAATCAAAGTCAAAAGAGCAAGGCAAGCTGAGCCCGCTGCACTGAACAAACCGCGTGCGAGCGGCCGTCCTGCGAACACTTTTGACGGGAACAGGGCGCGTGGCACGACTGGCACGACTGGCACGACTAGCACTCGCACTGGCACCTCACGGAGCTCTGGCAACTCCACATCCATACCTGCGAACTGAGGACACGCACGTGCAAATCATTAACTCTGGTCTAAGAGGTATCCTGAACTCAGACTATACGTCCCAACCCCACGAAGTTGCTTGGTGCGTGACATTCCCATCGCATTGAATATGTGCAAGGCGCACAGAATGCATTGCCCTCCCCAACGGTCTCTGTGTAGTGCGACCTTGAGCTCTGAACAGGCATCTGAATAGATTTGAAAAAACGAAAGAGTTCGGACTGAAATCCGAACTGAGTGGTGCACAGGCGGCACAGCTCACGCGTACCACACTGCCGAGTGCCACGAGCTTCGCACTGCTCACACCTGCCATTGGGAAAAGTGGAAGAACCGCCAAGTGCAAAAAGCATCGCACTGCAAAGGAAAAGGAAAATGCAGCAAAAAGAACGTGCAAAAAGCAAAATACGCAAAATATGCAAAATATGAAAAATATGCAAAAAACGCAAAATACACAAAATATGCAAAATACGCAAAATATGCAAAATATGCAAAATACGCAAAATACGCAAAATATGCAAAATGCGCAAAATGCGCAAAATGTGTAAAATACGCAAAATACGCAAAATATGCAAAATATTCAAAATATTCAAAATACGCAAAATATGCAAAAGCGCGACCTAGAGGCTCCAATGATGTCCTTTGCGCATCGTTTCTACAAACGACACCGTCTGATGCCGTTTGTCGAAAATGATGCGCCTTGGCGAGAAAAATGATGCGATTTGGCGAGAAAAAGATGCGATTTGGAGCGAACTAATGCGATTTGTTGGCACACGTTGCCTCCAGTGACGTCTGATGTGGTTTGTGGAAAATGGTGTCCTTTGTGCGCCGTTGGAGCGTCTATGAAAATATGAAAAATACGCAAACTACGCAAATATGCAAAATACGCAAAATACGCAAAATATGCAGAATATGCAAAATATGCAAAATACACAAAAGTATGGTTTCCTGCCCATCGCCCGTCTCACCAACACGCAAAAAGCCCTTCTTTTGCGCGCATAGTCTCAAACTATTCGCTGCTCCCTTGCTCTTTTCGAGCTCCGGGGGAGGGTGGGTGGGCAACCTAAACCTAAACCTTGAGCCTATAGGTGAGACGTGAGACGATACAGAAAAACCCTGCGCACACTGCGCTGAACGCCTACAGTTTCCTACCCATCACCTGTCTCACCAACACGCGAAAAGCCCTTCTTTTGCACGCGTAGTCTCAAACTATTCGCTGCTCCCTAGGGCGACCGCGGACTGGGCTACCCGCCTTAGCAGACGGAGCCCATCTTCCCGTGCACCTGCGCGCGCTGCTTCTGCTTTCAGCCGGCTCTCCGGCTCCTCTTCGTTCCTGGCTTGGGGTCCTGAAGATCCCAAGGAGAAATCTTGACAATGGCCTCAGGCGGGACATCACGATCACACAGGTCCCGGTCAAGCGAAAAACGCCCAGAGCACGGAACATCGACGTCAATACAGTCTCCAAATGTGCTTGGTGTAGACCCATGAGCGAGGATTGGAGGCAGTTCCTGTGCTGGCACCACATTGGCCGGCCCCACCACCCTATGTTGGGTGTGACCCGACCAAGCAGCAACCCACCAGACTCCATCCGCGTCCGGCGAGGCCACCACGCGGTTTTTACCATCCGCCTCAATAGCCCTCCCTCCAGGAGGCCTCCGGCCGCGGACCGTTCGCTGGCGGCATGGTTCTGTGGGTACACCAGTGTCAGGGTTTGCGGCGGCTTCTGGAAGGGAGTTCGGCAGTGCTTGGCCTGTCTCTTCTGCAGCGCTTGCTGTCGAAAAAGAAGAAGGCCCAGGGACCGAGCCCCACCAGCGCTGACGCTCCGACGCTCCGGCATGAGCACTCCGAAACAGAGTCTGAGTGTGACGAGGAAACGGAAAGACGACCCCCCTGTCGCTTACGTCGTGCAAAGACGCACCGAAGGGAGAGAAAATCAAGCTCCTGCCTTCGGATGCTGAGGTCAGCAGTGGGGAGGACCTTCGCCACGAGGATGGTCAGCTTTACTTTCGAAGTTGCGCGTACCACCGGGCCATATACGAAGGTCAGGCAGTCAAGAGGACCTGCGCCATCGAAGGATGTGACCGGGAGGTGCGCGCGGGCACAAGCAAAGTAGGGCTGCGGAGTGCACGGCGCTAAGGATGATCGCAGCCAGCCCTCACGGAGCTGGAAGGGATCCAAGGGAGAGGTCAAGCCGCTGTACCCATGCGACAGAGACAGCCGTTCCCAAGGCGCGTTTCGCGCCCGCAAACCAAGCCGCAACTAATGCTCGACTGGACCCCCACAAGGCAGCCGTCCTCGGCAAGTACCTCCGAGTGATCCTTCGAGTGATCCTAGACGGGGCAAGTGAAGCTGACGTCTGGGGACAGCGGTCCAATGGAAACGTGGGAAGATCTCAAGGTTCAGGCCACGTCTTATGTCACCGACTATCCATCAGCTGCGCGGCGAGCTATTGCTAAGCCCTTTCCGGAAGAAGTGGTTAAGCCTGAAGAAGAGGAGGACCCTGTGCTGGGTCTGGGCAAAGCGGCGAGTGTCACGCCAGATCCATGGGAAGTTGTCCCTGCAGGAGAACTCCCCCGTTAGGCCACCGCAGTTTGAGCCCCCCAAGGAAGCGACCCTGTTCTATCGGTCTAGGAGGATGGCCTCCCTGGCTCCCCACCTGCCGCGGCAAGGCCCAGGCACATGGGTGCCTATTCGGATGCTGAGCCACCCCGGATTGACGAAACAACCGGCCTTGCAGGCTATCGCCAAAGCGGTCACCTCAAAGGATGAAGCGGCCGGGCAGGAAAGAGGGAAGTGGTGTTGAGGAGCGGCTTGTATACCTTGTTAGGGGGTGCGATGCCTTTAGTGTGTTCTTGGGGTGGGCAAGGAGCTGTGTCATGCCCTGAAGTCCACTTCCACTCAGGGAAGGCCCCAATTGAGGCTGATGCATTTTCCGGTCAACATCAACAACCGGATCGCCTATGGCTTAGCCGGCCGATTTTCCGTTGACGTCGGAAGAGGAGTTCGACCGGGTACTCCCGATCAGAGGCTAGCTAGAGAAACGCCCCAAGCCGCCGGCCACCCTCAATGCCTGGTACCGCAATGCATTGCGCGAGGCATGGGCCGTGGCTTGCGTGTATGGGACGGAACACTATGCTTCTTTTGAACAGGCCGCCACGATAGGTGGGCACTAGCACCCAGTTGCAAGTCCAAACAAGCAACTGCAGGATGAAGATGGCAACTGTAGCGGTTGCTACCCACCGCGCTGCCAAGCCTATGGAAGCACATAGCGTTCCACGGTACCACTTGGCTTTCAGCATCCAGTCCTGGTCTTGTTGGGATTCCTCTTCCACGCCGCGGAATCGGTCACTCTCCTCCGTCGAAGCGTCTGACTCGCATTGCTGCCCCGCCTCGCACACTTCAGGCGGTGCGCCTGCTCTCAGCTGCAGAAGATTCATGAGTCCCCAAGACTCAGTAAGCTTCAGCAGCGGGTCGCAAATAAACAACAAGGAGAGCAGCACGCTGCGCATGGCTTGCATCCCAACCCCCGGGCAACCTAAACCTAAACCTTGAGCCTATAGGTGAGACGTGAGACGATACAGAAAACCCTGCGCACGCTGCGCTGAACGCCTAAACAAAATACGCAAAATATGCAAAATATGCAAAATATGCAAAACATGCAAAATATGCAAAATCTCCAAAATATGCAAGATATGCAAAATAAAAATACGCAAAAATACGCAAAATATGCAAAATACACAAAATACGCAAAATACGCAAAATATGCAACATACGCAAAATATGAAAAATATGCAAAATACACAAAAGACGCAAAATATGCAAAATACGCAAAATATGCAAAATAAAATACGCAAAAATACGCAAAATATGCAAAATATGCAAAACACGCAAAATATGCAACATACGCAAAATATGCAAAATATGCAAAATACACAAAAGACGCAAAATATGCAAAATACACAAAATATGCAAAATATGCAAAATATGCAAAATATGCAAAATACGCAAAATACGCAAAATATGCAAAACATAAAAAATACGCAAAACAATACAAAATATGCAAAATAATATGCAAACAAAATATATATGCAAAACATATATGCAAAACATATGCAAACAATATGCAAAAAATATGGACAAATATGCAAAATACTCAAAATATGCAAAATATGCAAAATATGCAAAATATGCAAAATGCAAAACATGCAAAATATGCAAATTATGCAAAATATGCAAAATATGCAAAGCATGTGAAGTTGCGACTGACGTGTACTGCCTTACGCTGGTGAGCAGCCAGGAGTCCAGCCTGTCGCCCCCCTCCCCCCCCTCGTCCCTCATTCGAACGTTCGGCCTCTGGTTGGTGCGGAGCAAAAAAGCCGGACTGCCCTCATGTCACACACGTCACAGGTGGATCTGCGTCTCAACAAGCTCTCTCCTTAGCGTCGTCCACAAAGATGTCAAACCCACCTGACGATCAACCCACCTGTCTCGCCCGTCTCTCGCTCTCTCCCAGGCCCCCACTGTCACATGGCTTCGCAGTGAGCAGTGCCCGTCCATCATCTGTCAGGTGGTACTGCCTTGGCACATCTTGGCGCATCTTGGCGCATGGCCCTCAAGTGTCAGCAGTTCCCGGCCCCACCTTTTTGATCTGTGCAGCTTGGCTTGGCGAGAGGCGTCACAAGAGGCGACGCAAGATTAGGGAGCTGAGGGTTGGAGGCAGATCCTCGTCTTTACAGGGCAAGGCAGCGCCAAGATCCAAAAGATAGTCGCACACCGACTCGTCACAGGCAAGTAGGATTGGAGTTCGGCCATCTGCGTTCAATGCATTCAAGTCTGCCTTGGCGCCAAGCAAGAGCTTGCAGCAGGCCAGACTGCCTGCGCGCGCTGCCATGTGCAGAGGCGTCTCATCCCAGGCTTCACGGGAATCCACGTCGACATCGTCATGCAAAAGCTCTGCAACCTCATCTGCCGCCGCTCTGTGCGCTGCCAAATGAAGGGCTGTGCAACCGAAGCTGTCCCTTTCACAGGTGCGCGCCTCAACTTTCTCCTTCCCATCTTTCTCCTCTTTCGGCTCTTTGGGCAGCTTGGGCCCCTTGGGCGCATGCCCTTGCCGCGTTGCAAAGGGCAGCAAGCCAGCCAGAAGCAGCGGCAAGAGGCCAAAGAGGCCAAAGGCATTGTATCGACCGAAATCATCCTTGGCCACTTCCAAAGCAGATCTGATCTCTCCAGCGTCATTCCTGACGTCCTCCTCCTCGTGCATCAGCGTGGACTCGTCCAAATCAGCAACCGAGTTTTCAAGGCGTGTGTGCACCGTTGGCAGGGCACTGGAGGCTGTCTGCATCAATGCTTGTGCCTGCGCAGGTTCTGCAGTCTCTGCTGCACATCTGCACAGCAACACCAATCTCAGCAGTCTCATGGGTATCTGGGTAAAGTGAATGAGAGGTGGGGTACCCCTCGAGGGCTAAAGCCCCAGGCGGTGGTTCTAATCTCGGATCAAAATGTCTGCGGCATCCATTCCGTGTGCTCTGCAGTTCGTCTACTGAGTTTGGGTGAACAAGAACAAGGCGGAATAAATCAAGAAGCCTTGTACCGTGGGACTGGTGTGCTTGCCGTTAAAAAAATTAATGATGCTGAAAGTCCCCTGTTCTTGCTGAATTCAAACGTACATCTGCTGTGCAATTATTGTTTTTCTTCCTGGCGCGGCTGTGAAGCTTGGCTTGGCGAGAGGCGTCACAAGAGGCGACGCAAGATTAGGGAGCTGAGGGTTGGAGGCAGATCCTCGTCTTTACAGGGCAAGGCAGCGCCAAGATCCAAAAGATAGTCGCACACCGACTCGTCACAGGCAAGTAGGATTGGAGTTCGGCCATCTGCGTTCAATGCATTCAAGTCTGCCTTGGCGCCAAGCAAGAGCTTGCAGCAGGCCAGACTGCCTGCGCGCGCTGCCATGTGCAGAGGCGTCTCATCCCAGGCTTCACGGGAATCCACGTCGACATCGTCATGCAAAAGCTCTGCAACCTCATCTGCCGCCGCTCTGTGCGCTGCCAAATGAAGGGCTGTGCAACCGAAGCTGTCCCTTTCACAGGTGCGCGCCTCAACTTTCTCCTTCCCATCTTTCTCCTCTTTCGGCTCTTTGGGCAGCTTGGGCCCCTTGGGCGCATGCCCTTGCCGCGTTGCAAAGGGCAGCAAGCCAGCCAGAAGCAGCGGCAAGAGGCCAAAGAGGCCAAAGGCATTGTATCGACCGAAATCATCCTTGGCCACTTCCAAAGCAGATCTGATCTCTCCAGCGTCATTCCTGACGTCCTCCTCCTCGTGCATCAGCGTGGACTCGTCCAAATCAGCAACCGAGTTTTCAAGGCGTGTGTGCACCGTTGGCAGGGCACTGGAGGCTGTCTGCATCAATGCTTGTGCCTGCGCAGGTTCTGCAGTCTCTGCTGCACATCTGCACAGCAACACCAATCTCAGCAGTCTCATGGGTATCCGGGTAAAGTGAATGAGAGGTGGGGTACCCCTCGAGGGCTAAAGCCCCAGGCGGTGGTTCTAATCTCGGATCAAAATGTCTGCGGCATCCATTCCGTGTGCTCTGCGGTTTGCCCGTGTATCCACTTGAGCGCAGCGCTTGTCCTCGCAAATCACGGTGAGTTTCTGCTCCTTTTCCTAGCAACTTTCGCGAATTGAGAACAAAACACAAAAACGAAGCGAAGCCAAAAGAACTCAAGGCGAAGACGAGAGCGACATGAATTCAGCCGGATGTTGCGTTGGCCTGCGCTGGCTCCACGAAGCTGGAAGTGAGGCCGGGCCCCATGCCCTCAGCGTGAGAACGGAAAACGGAAATCCGGAGATCCGGAAGTCAGAAATAAATAGAAATACAACATAAACTTGGAGCAAAATTAGGTGAGATGAACGGATAACGCCGGATTTCAAGGTGAGATGTGCAAAGTGTTCAAAGGCATCGAGCGCTCGGATTGTATTCTGAGTCATGTCAGAGTGATATGTTGTGGCACACATCATTTCAATACCCGTCTTCACGTCTACTTGTTTCATGCCTTCCCTGGTCACTGCATGCATTAGTCTCTACTGAACATGGCATCGTGACAGCGTGCATGTTGTGTTGCAATACGCGCAAATAATGTGCCAATTGGAAAGCTAACACGACAGATAAAACCACAACATATGGTGTCGCGGGCAGTACTAGTTTGGGGTTGTGCTCAGTGAGTGCAGAAAGCTATGCGCGGGAGTGAAACGAATTGAATCAGAATCCGCCACGCGATGGCAAACAATCTCTCAATTTGGGCAAACCGGGCACTGCTCACTTGTTCTTGTGTGAACTTTGTGAGGCACTGGCATTTGCACATCCCTCTAGCTCGCTTGGCTCCTCATGCGCCAAGCTGTGCCAGTTGGCACTTCCTGCTGCACCATCAAAGCCAGGCGAGTGATTGGCCAAGTGACATTTCCGTTGCAACAATAGCCGTGGTATTGCTGTATTGCACCCTACCCGAGTTTTCACGGACGAGCAACTCAGCTAAGCGTAGTGGTCCTCTGGCGTGCGTACCCAGCGATTGTGCAATTCATACAAAACGTTCACTCTTTTGCTTGGCACAACAGCTCACCTCGATTTTACATATTTTTTGTGTCATGATCTCATCAGAAACGCGCGGGACTGTCATCGCCTCACCCGGGTAACGTCACCAGCAGTGGGTCTCTGCCCTGGATTCTGTATCGACATGCCGCGAGGTCGGAAAAAACAAGGTTCGTCTTGTTACTTCGGTTCCTGTTCCCAATGTGCCCATGCTTCGGCTGGATGGGATGTCCGTATGCGATTGTAAAATGGCATGTCCTTGCCTTTGACCTTGACTCACCTTAGCTTACCAGCTTCCCCGAAACCGGGACAAACGAACATATCCTTGGTGAGTTGCTCTCTCCATCCCTCTTGGGTCAAAGCTTGCTCCAGGATATCCGCCAGCTCAAAGCCCCGCCCTACGAAAGGGAGAAAAGGGAGCAAAGTATCTTAGAATAGAGAATAGGGGAGCAACGAATAGAAACGAAAGAGGAGAAGCGAATTGGAAACGTTCAAATCGGAAAGATACGTCGCAGCCGAACCCGTGTCGAATCGGAGCTGCGGCCTGACTCGGCGTCTTTCTCCTCAGATTCCGTCCACTTCCGTCCCCGGCGGCGATCTTTCCCAAAGTATCGTTCATCATTCCTTTTTTGCTTAGTTTTTGTATGCTGTTTTTCCGTTCTGGTTCCTCTTTTTCTCTCTTTTCCTCACTTGCAAACCCGTCAAGGCCTGTTTCCCGAAGCGGACCCTCCACCATGCCTGGTCCTGACACGTGATGTCCACACAAACAGGAATCAAGAAACCAATCCGACCTGCAAACGCTGCTCCATCAATCCCATTGTGGGAGACTGCTGCGTCTGCAATTTGAACCAAGTCTTGCGCCAAGCAAAGAGATGCCAAATGCTGAAACCACACACCGCCAAATCTCAATAGCGGAGCCTGAGTACTGGTTTCCTTCGCACGGACCGCGTTCGATCGTGGCATCCGTCAGCTCAGAACTGAACTTTCGCTCTTCCGGCCCAGACGTCTGCACGCATGGTACAAGCCATGCAAGCCATGCAAGCCATGCAAGCCATGCAAGGCCTGCGCTTCATCCGATGCCACCTATCGACTCCACGCATCGACGACTGAAACAAGCTGCGAGTCCAGCCTACGATGCTTGCGCCTTGAACCTGCGCAGCCCTCTTGGCCGTGCTTTTCCCAATTCCGAGCTGCAACAAACTGGCAGCAAGGTATATGTTTTATATAGATGTGCATATGTACGTATATATGTATATGGAACATACAAATTTATATAGATATATATGTTTATGTTAAACTTGGAGCAACTATGCTTCCTGAATACCTGATGCCCAAACCTGTGAGGTGTGTCAGCGTCAGCGCGGCTGCAGTTTTCCTCAGTGGGGCAACGCGCTCTGCACAGGCTCAATGCCTTGATGTTCCTATTGCGTCAGGAGAGATGTGTCACTGACTGCCAGTATTCTAACACGCCTCCTCGATTTGTACACTGCAATCTAGTGTGCAAGACGCAGCCCGTTTGTCGGCTCACGCCGTACGGCTTGAGCTAGGTGCGTGCCATTTTGGCACACCGGAAGAGACACAGATCACCCGCGCAGCAAGGAACATCGTCGCCCTCATGCCCTGGCCTGGTACATGGTCACATGCGTCTTGCTACATTCCAAAACCAAAGGATGATGCGTTGAGCATCCTCCACTCTGTCTGCTGTTGCAGCGGTGCGGCTGCGCCTGGCTTATGTCTGCGCACCACCCGCTGTGATTCGTTTGCAACGACGTAGTCCCAAGCTTGGCCCTTACATGCGCAGCAGGCAAGGGCGCGCTGTAAGAACCCGATATTCACTGCAAATGGCCTGTAATCTTACACAGAGTCCTTGCTTGCTCGGGAAGCCTGGTCCATCCGTACCACGTGGCGGGCGACTCCCCTGTTGAAAGTTGCGAGACGCTTCCTGTGTTCCTGTCGGTCTGATGCTGTACCTTGAAGTGATCCAAACGTGCACAGAGGACGCGCATCACGTTCTTGTTCAAGGACGTACCCATTCCCTGCAAATATAGCCAACTCAACCAAGCTGGCAATGTGTCAACTCCTGCTGTGATGGATCACGAGCTTCAACAGAAGAGAGAGCACTTTGTGAGTGTGGTGAGGCAGCGCAGCACATGCTACAGCGGGGTCTGGCTTGGCAAGGATACATCCGCATATGAACCCATCATGCAAGGGCGATCAAAAAAAAAGGTTACGCCTCGCAAATACAATCAACAACTTCTGGCCTGCGCGAAGACAGGTCCATGGAAGACACCATCATCAGCACTGCCTACACCGACTCTCACAACACCAGTGGCAACACCAGCAACAAGCAAAGCATCTACACCACAGAATGGAAAAAAGCAACAGATGGGACTGAGACAACGAACAACACACACCGCTTTGCGAGTTTGGTGAGGCAGTGCAGCACATGCTACATCGCCGACACATGAGAAGAGACCAGCATTGCCTGCACCACCTACATCATTTACAAGAGAAAGAGACGACGCAATAGCAGAAGGCAGTACGGGCAGGCAACCACTCGCCACATCAGAAAGACAAGCGCTGGGGCGACCACCAACAGCAGAACAAAATGAGAACCAATGCCTACGAAATGGGGAACAAACTGGGACGTGCAAGAGATTGGTGACACAGGAGGCTTGGATCCACACCTTTTCACAAGGTAATGAAGACGGAAGTACAGCATATGAAAAACCATCAGTCTTTACATGGCAACACACTGACAGCAGAACAAGCAAACATGATTGAATCAAAATGGGTTCTCAAACCAAAGCACAATGAAGACAAGAACGGCTTGTTGCAAAAGGCTACACAGAACCCGTTACGGATCACGACCTACGCGTTGCAAGTACACCATGCTTTTGCACACTGAGGGCGCTTCTCACAACTGGTCCGTCTGCACAGGAGATGTCAGTGCTGCGATTCTACACGCAGCAGCAATCTCCTACAACTTGGTAAGCAGACCACAACAAGAATTCTACACAGAAACAAACAGACACATAACGCGGCGGCTTAACAAAGCCATATACGGCTTGCGCGATTCTCATTAAAACAATGGCAAGACCACATAGCACACATTCTCACAGCTACACTTGAACTTGTGAGACGCGCAAAAGAAAGCAACGTCCACAGATCGAAAGACTGCTTAGTCTACATCATGATGTATGTGGACGATCTCCTACTCATACTACAAGCACCTACTCAGCTTCACAACGAGAAACTCAAACACATGATACGGTACATTCAAGGCACACGGCACCTGCGACACAACGTGCGACCAAAGATACAGATACAGGACAAGCGAACCCCGCTCAAAATTGACACGCACACACAGACATGCCAACTGGGCATCATGCGAGACAACAAAAGAGCACAACAAGATTTGTGAGACAGTTCTTCGGAGCAGCAACACGATATGGAAAAAGAACACAAGCAACAATAGCACTTCCTCACGATTGGTACAGCTGCACAGGAGAGCCTCGGCTTTAGCAACTTCATCAAGTAAGCATTTAAGGTCGCGCAGACAGCAGCGCAGCCGAATCAGTCTCAATGAGAAAAGGCACATCAAAGAAACAAAACACATTGAGCGGCGACATCTCTGAGTACAACAACTTGCCAAAATCAAAATCATCACAAGGCAAAAAGTAAAGTCAGAAGGCAACCCAGCAACAAACACCTGCACACGGTTGGCCGTTGAGGCCACTACAACCAGTTTCACACAGCGCTCACAGCATGTGAAGCAACAGTTGCGCAGCACACGTCTTTGCACAACTAAGTCCGCCGGCATAGGTCCTTTTGGGCGGGCACAAAGCCATAGAACGACCTATCCGCGTTTACAACCTTCTACAACCCCCTTTACACCTATCTAGGACATCTTGCTGCGTAACAGTTTGTACATGTTTCAGACAATACCTTGATGCATGCTGCAGCCTTTCTACATCATCCAGAAGTGGAACATTTGTCCGTTACACAGGAGGCTTCGGTGTCATACCTCTGGCACAACCAGCATGGGGTTCACACATGCACAGATCGTGTACCTTGCGATGGCCAGGGAATGCCTGGCATGGACCGCTACAGGGTCGCACAAGATGAGGAACATCCGCTGTTGGCTGAGGAAGCACAGATCAGGCACACAGCTTGTGTAGATTATTGTCGCACACGTTCAATGGGACCGTCTGCACCATCGGGACATTCCAATTCAACACACTGTGCATTGTAGACATGGTTAGCAGAAGCTATATGGACGACTGCAACCAAGTCTGTTCATCTCCAAGTACATGCAAACATTATGCGCATGTTGTCGCCCGAGGAGTACAACTTGCGCAAGATGCGCCGCATCCAAGGTGACATCACATTGCTGCGCAACGGTTTTCCTGGACACGTGTGGGTTCATTTGGGCAAGCAACGCGGCAACCTGCAGCGCGTGAAAAGGGCTACAGCGAACAACCGCCTACACGCAACCGTGACCCTGGCTTTGAGTACAATGGGTGCATCATGCGTCCGTTTGTTTGCACCTGGGCACCAGCTGCTGGCACAGGCACCTTCAACACCGAGGGGGCGCTCACAAAAAATAACATCCGGATCACGCCACACATACGTGAAGGGTGCAGAGGCTTTGCTCCCACTGTGCTTGTGCGAGAAGAGCAAACTGTACAGGGACACGCTTGAACATCCTCAGGGACACGCGCCGGCACAGCCATAGGTACATGCCATTTTTGCACACCGGAATTTGAGGCACAGGCCTTGAACATCGTTGCACAGATTCCTGGCCTGGCACATGGTCACATTTATCTTGCTACATTCCGAAACACCAGGAGCATGTGCACAGCATGGACAACAAATGGATTGTTTCTTGTACACTAGATTCGATGTGTGCAATGCGAGAGGTGTTAAAAATACATTTGTCTTGCACAGCCGCCAGTTGCACAACCCTCTGGCTCTATCTGTACATCAAGGCCCTGAGCCTATCGTGCATTGGGAATAGAAACAGCGCTACAGCGCCGGGTTGCTTCACACACAGGTTTGCACGTCAGGTATTCAGGTTGCACAGTTGCTCCAAGATCACCAACCAGTCTTTGCAGCTGCGCAGCTCTTTGCCTCAGCTTTACCGTCAGCCCTTCACGGGCTTCCAGTCCTCAGACAGAAAGGAAACGGATCGAATTCAAACACCGAAGAAGATTAAAGAAACGCATCGCAATTTGCGTCCCTCCTTCATGTCCATGCTGGAGGCCGGCTGGCCCAAGAACTCGATGCGCTTTATTCTGGTCACTGGAGCTCCACAGTTGTCCTGCGCAGCGACTTCACCATGGATTCACAATCACTTCACAGCGTTGCCTTCGGCTTCCTTAACGATATGACGATACTCGACACGACTCGCCACTGCCTGGAAGAAAAGCTGCAGGCTCGACACCTTCATTTCTTCACTGCTTCACTTCGGGCCGTTTCGGCTCGTTTCGGCTCGCCGAGGGCCGAGCGTTCTGGAATTTCACAAACCGCAGCAGCACGGGCCTCAGGCAACTCCCGACTCGCGCCTCTACTTGCGACTCGCGACTCACTTCTCAGGAAAACGCTCGCCACCCACATTGGCCGGCGTGAGCGCTAGCTCCTGAGATACCGACATGGTGGTGCGCCAGTCTCACGCAGCCCCTCAGCCCCGCCTGGACAGCTTCCTCCTCTGCATCCTCGAAGCCCATATTCACCTGAGCTTTAGCATTGCCACAATGCTTTTGAAGATAGAGCCTTGTCCAAGAACAGCTTCACGCTTTGCGGCGCCGTCTCATCCTAGTCTCAAGTCACAGTCTCAGGCAACTGGTGGCTGAGCGTCTCTCTCGCCTCCTCGCCCAGGATGCGGATGCTCTGTAGCTTCACAGGCACCCGAAACTGCACCTTCGATCCGACGATCCGAAGGTGAAGATCTATCTGAGTCGGCTCCCTCAACTCCCTCGGCTCCCTCGGCCCTCGGCCCCGGCCTTCAACAGGAGCTGATGATCTACATTTTCATCAGAAGATAGGAAGGTGTCCGGGCTGGGATCCAAGATGTTCGCAACTGGGTTGGCCTGGCAGTTGAACAATCATGGTCCAAACATTGTTGTCCCGTCGTCCTTGTCTTCATTGAGGCACTCCAGCTGAGCCTTTTCCACGAATTCGTCCAGGGGCGCCACGGTGCCCTAAAGCGCAGGAAAGGGCAGGGAAGCAAGAAAAACAAAACACATGCGATGAAAAAGCTCAGGTGCTGTTGCCATGTAAGGCCAGGTCCGCCATGACCAACAGGGAGCGGCCAGATTCAATCGGCCGTCCCGAAGCTGAGCCAATCCGCGCTCGTGAAATGCGCGAGCGAGCCAAAAACCTTCAAGCCAAAAGTTCCAACTTCAGGACCTTTTTGTTCAGACGTTAGCGGGCACCAGCGCCAAAGAAAACTCTCACTGGCTGTCCAGGCCGCTTCTTTCCTTGAAGCGATCTGTGCTCCCCAAACACAACGCGTCTCTCTCCCTCTCTTGCGCCTGGAAATCCTCCAGCCGCTGCCGAGCTTCGCGCAGCTCCTCCAAGCTTTTCCTGACCCGCGCACCTCGTGAAGGGCGATGAGTCTACCGTATCGAAACAGACGAACCAGCCAAACAGCGCCTTTGTGCAATTATTGTAATTGTGCTTCAGAAGTGACGTGTTTGGCATTTTTTGAGGAAGGTCCCTGTGATTCCAGGATTGTTTGGAAGGGAGGGAGCAAGACAAGGTGAGACGTAAGGGCAGGCGTCATGCTTCCATAAAAACCATCGGCTGGACTTGCAAAACATAGCTAGACATAGCAAGGGACCCAGTGCCATTTCCAAGACGAAACACCCGCCGTCGCAGCGCAATGGCATGACTTCAGAGCCAAAGATAGCAGAAGAGACAGAGATACGAGAAGACATGAGAACACAGTATTGGGCTGTCAAAGCAAGCGGGACCCGCAATGAACAGGCGGCAGCGGCAGTGCAAAAGTGGATGGCGCAAGGCGAACCAAGCAGGAACTGAGGAACTGAGGAGTGACAAAGTACGGGACGGGATGGTGAAAAGAATGACACAGGCCAACGCTCACGCGCTGCTCACAGACAATGACCAGCGTGTGACCGTCACACCCCAACAATCTCACTTGGCAACACGCGCCGTGCGTCCTTGCAACACACAACAGCAAGCTCTCTTTCCATTCGTCTCCTTCTTGGGCACCCCAACGCTTCTTCTTCCAATCCTCAGGCGCGAACATATGGATGCATTGCACGCGTTGTTGCGTTGTTGTTCAGAACGCTCGCCAGCCTCTTTGGCGTCTTCCAAGCTCTCTGGCCCCTTCTCGTCCACGAAGGCCTCAGTGCTAAGGTTTGTCTTCGTATGTGCGAGCGGTCAAGCCGTGGGCGGTGAACCCGAACTGCTTTGAACCTCAAATTGCCAACTCGACTCAACTGGCAAAACAGTGCTCGGACGTTTGTGCCAGCCTCTTTCAGCCCAGGCCTGCGCAAAAGCACAACACACCCCATTAAACCAGCATAGACCCCAGCTATCGAAAAACATGCGCCTGCGCCCCAAACAGCATCCCAAACAGCACACAGCACCGGCCTGCCAAACATGACCCCTCGCGCCCGAGCCACCAATCTTGCAACAATGCGCCAGCGCCTCAAACAGCACCTGGACCATCGCCCCACACTGCATGCCCCCTAGCACCCTCTTTTTGCGAGGGTCTCAACCCCCCGCCCCCGCTACAGAGGGTTGGCCACCCCTGGCCAGGCCACACGTTGGTAGCCTTAAACAGCGCGCAGGTGAGGGCCTTGAGTCTTCGGCCCCAGTGCCTCAAGAAATCCATTAGCGCACTCAAGCTCCTCCAGGCCCTGAGACCCCCCGGCAAGTCGCCGCTGGAGCAAGGCTGGCCTCAATGTGAAACTAGGGTGGCGCAAAAGCTGTTCCCGCGCAACAGCTATGTTGCAGAACGCTACACAGTGTGGCACGAGGTTGCTACGCTCGCAGAAGGTGTTGACGCGCCGGTTGGGCCATTGAAGCCACGACAGCCTGCGAAGTTGCGCTTGCTCTGGTTTTGGTAGACAGTCTCGGACCTGGCTGGGCTCGATCTCAAGGCTCAAACATGGTCATCAGGATGCCCGGCTTGCTGCCCAGGAGCTTGCGTGTCCTTGTGGATTGACAGGGGCGCTTGTCCTGATATCGTCCCTGCTGAGAGAAGTCTGCTCAATCTCTCAATTCTCCATAATATGGGATGGACATCGGCTTGGCTCTGACGTTGTGGATGCATCGCTTCACGGACACGCTCTTCGGCGTGAGCTTGAGCGGCGGCACAGGCTTCAGGACGACTTTGGCTTCTCGGGCAGTGGATCCTTCTTCCTGCTTTCGATGCAATCTTGTCTCCCCAGTCTGCTTGCTTGATATTCACGTCGGGGCCCGTTGAGCGATTGACGAGCTTCTTTCTGGATTCGCATCCTTTCTGGTCTCGTCCTTTCTGGCCCTTGTCACGCACACCTTGAGGAAGTGAACCTTCCCTTTTTGCCAGACGCCTCCCTTGCCACAATCGGATGGAATCTTGGATTTGTCTTCGTGTCAGTAAACACTTTGCCTCTCCCTAAAAAGGGTCTAAGCGAGGTCTCTTCGGATTCGCATTGACGAGCTTCCTGGACTGCTTGTTTTGACAGCCGCTTAATCTGTTCGCTCCAGTCGATCGTCAATTGCGTAGGCGTCGGAGCATCAAGCTGGGTAGGATCTGCTGGTCGTCTTCCGAAGGCAAGTTCCAAACAGTTTGATTCTGACAGTTGCAGCTGCCTTCACCAGTTGCTGCACCTTCTTGAGTGTGGCTGCATTGAGGGAGTTGAGCATGATCTCCAGCTGTGCCTTCAGGAGTCGAACTGCTGCTTCAGCTCGTTTTGGCGATGGTGGACTTGGTCCCAACCGTGAGCAAAGTCGTTGCCCCATCCAGGATGACAAAACAATGATATGTTCTCCAGTTTCGCTAGGAAACTGACAGTGATCAATGAATGTCATGTCTCCAAATGTGCCCACTCGAAGTCCACTTGTCTTGCTTCTGGGTAGCGCGTGTTTTTTCGGGCTTTGTCAGACAGATCGTGGGCTGATTTTGGCAAGTGAAGCACGAGTTCTGAGTCGAAGCTGATCGGTATTCATGACGCTGGTGGTGGAGCATCTTCAACTCTTCGGGCTTGGGCAGTCGCTGATGACGCGGAAGCGATGTAGGTTCATCTGCGGATTTTGCAGAATGATCCGGGCTCAACCTTCTCAATAATCCTGTCTGCTGCAGATCCTAAGCCCGTCTTGTAGCGAGTTGTCTGCGAAGATTAAGATGGTCCAACCATTCCACAAGCCGCCAATTGTCGGCTGCGTCTATGATTTGAGTGGTACAATGTCATCAGGATCAACCGCACATCCCTGGCTGCATTTGGTGTGAGCCGCTTGTTCTTCTTATCAAGGATCTAGTGGTCCTGCTTTTGAGGCCCGGTTGTCCCTTCAATTGCCGTGTCCTCCTTTGTCTCGGATGGTTTGGACGCACAGACAGTCTCGGTCTTGGATGCCCCGTGTTTTTGCTGCGCGCAGCCGCTGTATTTTTGAGCACTTGAGCATCTTCTTCGGCAAGCAGCGCTGGAGGCGGTGCTCGGGCACCGGCGGCTTGCTGATGTCGAGCAATTGCTGCGCGGTGCGCCTCCTGCACAGATGTGCAATGGTTTGGCGCCTGCGCCGTATAAACGGGCATCACATCCATCCATGTCCCTGGTTCCACAGTGTCGGATTGTACACTGAAGACGGTCCGCTCTAGCTCCTCAGACACGGGCGTACCCAGATGTTGCATTTTGAGAGCACGTCATCTTGAGCCTTTGAAGGTTATCCGCAACCGAACCTGCAGACCAGGGCCAACACACCAACTGAAAATCGAAGAAAAATGCAAACAAAGACATGTCTGCCGTACGCCGGGAGGGGGATCATTTTCGAACACCGATTTTGGATCATTTTCGAACACCGATGTCCTGGACGTTTTCGAACACAGAGTGGGTCATTTTCGATCACATGGGGGGGCTATCCTGCGGCACCCGTCGGGTGGGGGGCCAGGAGGCTCCGAGTCCCAAGTTACCTTGGCTTTTTGAGCTAAGATGTCCTCGGCGACTTGCGCTCGTTGGCCCCCGTAAAGCCGTGAAAGCTCGGTCTAACGGCCGTAATAACTCGCGCGGGAATCTGAAAGGCCGCTACTACTCCGTGAAAAAGCCGTGAAAACTCGTGAAATTTCAAGCTCTGAGTTCTCTTGTCCTCGCGACACAAAAAACATCCTTAGCTCATACGGCCTAAGTAACTTGCGAACCTGGAATTGCGATCGCCGCTTGCTGCGGGGCGGCGCAACTGCGTATTGGGGCTGGGGGGGGGGGGGGGTGGGGTGGGGCAGTTACGTTCGCTTCTTGCTGCGTGACCGTGCGACTGCGTCCTGAGGGGGGGGGGGATGGGGCGGGGCAGTTACGTTCGCCACTTACTGCGTGACCGTGCGACTGCGCGCTGGTGGTGATGGCGGTGTTGTTGGTAGCGATGATGACGATGTTGATGATGATGGTCATGATGATGATGATGATGATGATTATGTTGACCATTTTGATGATGATAATGATGATGATGTTGATGATGATGATGATGACGGTCATGATGTTGATGATGATGGTGATGATGTTAATGATGATGATATTGATGTTGCCGATGAGGATGTCGATGGCGATGACTTTGATAATGTCGATGATGATGGTGATGTCGACGTTGATGTTGATAATGGTGATGATGTTGTTAATGATGATGATGAGGGTGATGATGTTCATGTTGACGATGTTGATGATAATTATGATGATGGTGATGTTGATGATGATGATGATAATGGTGATGATGATGGTGATGATGATGATGGTGATGATGGTGATGTTGACGGTGTTGTTGATGATGATGATGATGATGATGATGATATAGATGTTGGTGGTGATGTTGATGATGGTGATGATGATGTTGATGTTGATGATGGTGCTGTTGTTGGTAGTGATGATGACGATGTTGACGATGATGGTAATGATGATGATGATGATGATGATGTTGACGACGATGATGATTATGATGGTGATGATGATGATGTCGCTTTGCGTTCCTAGTGCTTTGTGTTCCCGGGTCTACAGTTGACGATTGTCTCCCAAAAGCACGGCGCCATCCATGTGCTACACGTGCATCGTGGTGCGTGTTCGTGCGCCTCATCGTGGTGTGCATGGACACTTGGATGTGGCCGTGCTGCTGCAAATCACACGCACTTGAGCAAAACCGCGTTCAAAAACGAGCCAAAACACGCGTTCAAAAACGAGCCAAAACACGTGTTCAAAAACGACCACCTTCCCCCGTACGCCCGGGCCCGCCGCCCAAAGTGCCTGGGACTCGGCCTGGAGGAAGCGCCCAAAGCCTCCCAGGCGCTGCGCTGCCGCTTGCGCCGCCTGCGAGCTTGCCCGTTCGAACACAAGGGGGCTGGACTACAGCGGGGCAGCCCCAAACGAACAAGCAACGTAAGCACGCAAACCGTCAAGAAAACAATGCGAGGGAAATGAGAGGGAACATCCAAAAGAAACATTTCTTGTTCGTTCGCGGGCAAAGCCGGGCAGGTAATGGGCTCAGCAAGTCGAGCTTTGCTCTGGGAAGGATAACACAGGGGGAAGGAAGCAACCAGCTTGAAACCCTTGCTTGGCAAGTAGAACGTATTTCCAGCAGCATTTCGCCTTTGGTGCTGTTTGGCTTCAAGCAGGCTTTTCTTCGCCAGGCAATGGCCCGCTTTGCCTCAACTTCGCCGTTGGTTGCACAGGGAGGCACCTCTCGTCGCGGGTTCAACTTCAATCCCTTTCGCCGTTTTCGGACATCAAGCTGCATCAGCACCAAACACACGTTCTGCTCCTCGCGTCTGAGGCTATCAGCTTCGCTTCGTCGCGTCCGCAAGCTTTGCAAACTCTGTTTGCGCTCATCCTCCTCCTCTTTCTGCTCTCTCGGTCTTTCTATAAGCCTCGCTGCTCAGAACTTTTGCTCGTGGCACGCGCTGCAACCTTGAGTCCTATAGTCGCGCCAATAAACCCAAGCGGGCCACAAGTCATCACATTTCTTGTTCCACGCTGCACGCCTGCGCGCACGGGGCGGCGTTCAAGTTTCGCTTTTTTGGACGATGAGTTGTAACCTGCAGGTTTCCTGTTGTCTGCAATGCTTTTACGGAAAATTCATTCACACCATTCAGAATAATGGTGTTGCCTTTGTCTCTGCCTTCTTAAGGTGTTCTGGCGCGACTACCATAGCTGCTTCTGTCAGAGGCCTGGCGAAGCCGCCTGGTAGAGGTTTCACAAGTTTAAGAATGTTAGGTCTTTGTCTCCATCTGCCTGCCTGTCCATCTATCTTGCAGTCTATTTTGTGTCTCCCTGCCTCTCCTAGTTCTCTACTATCTTGCTCTATGTGTCTCTGTCTCTCTATCTCCGTGTCTCTCTACCTCTCTAGCTCTCTACCTCTCTTTCCTCTGTCTCTCTTTCCATTTATCTCTCTATCTCTCTGCCTCTATCTCTCAGTCCCTGCGCATCTATCTCTCTAATCGTTCTGACCCTTCCTATCAATTCATCAACCTATGTCTCTGTCTCTGTCCATCTGTCTCTCTATGCATCTATCTATCTTTGCTTGTTAAACTTGGTGGTGAACCGTGTAACCTGAAGACCTGATGCAAAAACCTTTGAAAGTCAACGTCACGCCCTTTCTGCTCTTGATGCGCTATAATCTCAAGGCCTTGATGTACCCCAAGACTCGAACAACGAAGTTAAACTCGGAGCTTTTCAAAAAACCAAGTATAACTTAGTCTCATGCTTTGCCATTTCCATTTTTGCGCGCCGCGCAGAATTTGCACCCGAGCGCAGCGTGTGCAATTGCCGGAATCAGATGGAATTAGCCAACACTGGCGCGGAGACGCTGCGGCAAAGCCAAGCCCTAGTCTTCACGGATCGCCTGCGAACGCAGGTGTTGCAAACGCGCAGGCCAGGGCTCGGGCGGGTTCATGCTTGTTGGGTCGCAACGTTTGCGGGCCGTCGAAGTGCCGTGACGATCGTACGCGCACGGCCATCTTACGCGCTATACATATGCACAAGATTGCTATGAGTTTTCGGCAACTTACTTGGTTGAGCGCATGAATACAGCAGTGTCGCCTTTCAAAACTATATTTGAGTTCTTGCGACCGCCGCGAGCAATACAAAAACAACAAGCAAGCGCCAGCGACGCTCAGCAGGCACGTTCCTGTGAGCGTGTTTGTGTTTTGCTTGCTGCGCCGGTGGACCTTGCGTGCTGTCTTTTCTGAGTTTCAAAATGAAAGCCGCCAGTTCACAGCTCAGCCGCCGTTGATTCATTGGCGACCCCGGCAGCTAGTACACGGTTGGCTCAAACTTTGGGAAGAGTGCCCCGTAGAAACAGCCAGGGCTAAATATGGCTAGCGCGAAGCCTGTTATAAGCTGTTGTTTGTGTCTGCGAAACCCTTTTGCAAAAAACGTGCTCTGTGGCAAAAGTTTCTTGAAACAACCAAGGGCCCCAGCCCGACTACAAGCTGCAGCCCGTGTAGACTAAACTCACCTGGCCCATATGACTAAACAATGACTTTGGGAAGTGCTTGGGAAAGACTTGGCAGGCAGCAAAAGGCACCAGCTTCGGACTGCGAGCTGCAGCCTACAAACTCGCATCCAGCTCAAGCAGAGATTGAAAAAGGAAATTCTGCTGCCAACTTCGGCCCCTTGTCCCCAAAACTCGTTTGGCAGAAAATTTAACCTGCGTAGCTAGGGCCTCTTGACCTCAATTGGACCGCATGGGCCTTGAAGGGGTACCAACATGTAGCAAATAAAGAAGAAGTCGGACATGGGGCTTCACTTGCGGCTTTGATAGCTGGCTTCACATGCTTCCCGAAAATAAACCAAGCGCTCCCGTCGTGCTGCAGCTCGCAGTCTGAAGCTTGCGCCTTTTGCTGCCTGCCAAATTTTTACCCGAAAGCCAATTGTGAACCAACAGAACCTCAGCCACTCAAGGTGCAGTTGGTAGATTGAAACTGCCTGAACCTCCTTCCCCGCTCCGGGCCTTCCAGAAGTTTCTGCCGAAAACCAAGTCGATCGGTGCAGTTTGTAGTTGGGAACTGGCGCCCCTTGCTGCAACCAATGGGGTTTCAGCTTGGCAGGACGAAGGCCCAAGGCACGAATGTACTCACGACAAACGATGTATATGGGCTTTATTCACTCCTTGGTGCCCGAAGTCTACAAAGGCCTGACCAAAAACATTCAAAAAAATCACGAGCATATGGCCCGAAAAACGTGTCAAGGATTCACGCACCTTTCACGGGATAACTTGGCCTTTCACGCAAAAACTTGGCCTTTCACGCACCTTTCACGCACCACCCCTCGCAACTGCGCATGTCAGCAATCTAAGTTTGGCCCCCTGCTCCCTTAACTTATCCAAATGGTAGGATTAAAGACGTTTTGTCTTGGACCGGTTTGTTCTAGCAGGACCAGTTTGCTTGGCATTGCCTTTGCAAGGAGTTTTGACAAGAGTTGTTGGTAGGGATCCAAAGTTCAGAATCCCGAGCCCCAACAGCAAGATTGACGACCGCATCAACGAATAACAGGCAAAGAAACAACAAGCAAAATACGTGCCCGAGTAAAAGAATCCCGCTGCGCGAAAATCAGCAGCCCGACCACGAAGGCCAGTGACAGGCCCTGAAAAAACCCAACTGCTACCAAAAAAGGAAACCACACACAACAAGCAACTTAGAAGCTACAAAAAACACACTTCACGAAAAGCAGCAGCCCGACCAAGCAGGCCAGTGACAGGCCCTGAAACAAATCCAGCTTCACCAAAAAACAAAAGCTACAAACAAGCAAGTTTGAAGCTCTACAAAAAACACTTCACGAAAAGCCCAGTGACAGGCCCTGAAAAAATCCATCTTCGCAGAAAAAAAGGCAGCCGCGCAGAACAAGCAAATTAGAAGCTCTACTGAAAAACCCCACTTCACAAAGATCAGCCCGACCAAGCAGGCCAGTGACAGGCCCTGAAAAACATCCAACTGCTACCAAAAAAAGGAAGCCACACACAACAAGCAACCTAGAAGCTCTACAAAAAGACACGTCACGAAAAGCAGCAGCCCGACCAAGCAGGCCAGAGACAGGCCCTGAAACAAATCCAGCTTCACAAAAACAAAAGCCGCAAACAAGCAAATTTGAAGCTCTACTTAAAACTAGACACCGATTATCCCGAAAGCAATAATGTTAGGGTATATCTATGATGTTATATATATATATGGTACCCCCCCCCCAGGGACCTACCTTTTTGATGAATTCACTGGTATTTGCAGTGTTGTCTACCCTTTTTTGGGCTTTGGGGAGAGCAATGAAAAGATGCATTTCCAAGGACGTTCTGGAAGCTTCAGGCTTGATTGAAACCGATTTAAACCGATTTAATTTAAATCGGGCATGGATTCAAGATTCAAGATTCAAGAATCCAGGCCAAACTTTTCAAGGGATTCTTGAATCCAGGCGTCGAGTTATTTAAACCGATTTACCTTAAATCGGGCATGGATTCAAGATTCAAGATTCAAGACTCCCTGGAAAAGTTTGGCCTGGATTCTTGAACCTTGAATCTTGAATCCATGCCCGATTTAAGTTAAATCGGTTTAAACCGGTTTAAATCGACGCCTGGGTTCAAGAATCCCTGGAAAAGTTTGGCCTGGATTCTTGAATCTTGAATCTTGAACCCATGCCCGATTTCAACTTAAATCGATTTAAATCGGTTTAAATCGAGACCCAAATTCAACATTGCACTTTGCGCCGCTGTACTTTAGCACAGTGTTGTGCAAGCATATTCATTCAATCTGTTTCAATCTAGGCCCACATTCAAGATTGCAGGTCAAAGTTTTCTGGGGAATCTTGAACCCAGGCTCAACTGAAATTTCAGTCGGTCTCAATGGGTTTCACTCGGGCCTGGACTCGCGTTTGCAAAGAAGACTTGTCCAGAGAATATGGGTTCTTTCCTTATCAAATCCTGTTAAAGCTCATATTGAATTGCAAGTATATATTGGGAAAGGAACTCTTTTTAAACACGCAATCTAAAATTTGATTACCATTACGGTTCTGACCAACTATTTCCGTATTGAGTCCCAATTAAATCCTGTTCAAGTTCAAATGAGCATTTAGAGAGCGTTCGTTGGTGGAGATGTGAGTTGAGTATGAAAATGCTACAAAACACTGTGTTTTACGGTGTTTTCTGACCAAGGTAGTGTTAGGACTAGTGAAAGACAAAAGTTTGGGACGCTTGGATTCTTTCCTTATGCATTCCACTTAGTATGTTTTATCAAATTCAACCTCATTTCTGATTGAAATTCAATGGAGCTTAAGAAGGACATACTCCAGCCAAAATTGCGATTTAGATTCGAACTTAAATATTGACT